GTGGGAAACAGAAAAATACTAACATCAAACGACTACACGTGTAAATGTCTTTTATTTTTAAGAAATATCTAAGTGGAACTTACATCTCCATAATATCCCGTCATAATAAACCCACATTCCAACCTTCTATTCCTTGAAAAGTCGATTCTGAAAGTAAAAACAAATTATTCAAAAAGCTAAAGGATGTATATTGACCTGTTAAGAGGACAGCCTGTACCTGGATATGACTGATCTTTTTAAGGAAGGGGGTTAGGAGATGGCTTTGGGGCCACACCCAAAAATGCACAGGGAAATGGGAGATTATGCCCAGCCGGAAGGCAAACGCAGGTCTCCCAAATGCAAAGCATACACTTCTGTGAGATAAGCCATATCCCAAATTTTCTGATTTTAATTATTTATTTAACAGCAGAAGATAGTACAGTAGTCAGGGCACTTGCCTTGCAGGCAGCGGACCCAAGTTTGGCCCTCAGCATTCTATATGGCCCCTTCCCTGCTGATCCTAGCCAGGAGTACAGAGCCACAAATAAGCCTTGAGAACAGCAAGGTGTGACCCCCAACCAAATTTTAATTCTTTAATTGTATGATTACATAAGCATCATGCTCATTTTTTCACCATAAAGTATCAGCACAAAATTAAAAAATGGAAAGGGGACCGTTAAGCAAATACTTGCAGGCATAAACTTTGAACAGAAACTCCTGACCCTTAAAGCAGACAGACATCCTAATGCTCAGAAAAACACCCTAATGCTGCTAATGAATTTCACGGAAGGCACAGGTGCTTTCTGGTAACCATTATGGACGCTTGGTCGGCAAAGCTCGCATTTCTACCTTACTTTCAAATCCTGCACAAAGGTCAGTCCTGTCCATTAAAAGTGGCTTATCCAGGTTTAAGTTACCCCGGCTCCTTCTGAAAAGTGGAATCTTGAAAAAGTCGGCACTGGAGGTTTCAAAATCTCACCCCACTAACAATTCTTGTACTCCCAAATCAGGTTCTCCCTCTGCCCCTTCTTTATCCTTTGAAAGTACACCTGACTCTGAAACGGCTCTCAGAAGGCCTCCCCAGCTCCTACTTCTTTTGTATATAAACACGCTCGGGTCACACACTTCATCAGCTGTTTGGTGGCCCCGCCCCTCCTCCCTTTCCGGGTAGTAACAGAGCAGCCAATGAGCGCTCGGGAGCTCTGCCTGCGGCCTTTTGCCTGCAAACGCTTTTCCAAAACAAGCAGTTCCAGCCTTCAGCAGGGGCCACCGGTTCACAGATAAAAGGATCACCAGGCTTTGCAACAGGGTGAGACGAGTAACCCCCACCAACAAGGAAACCCATGTAATCTGAGCTGTTTGTTCCTCCACCGGGGAGAACTTAAACCGATATTCCTTTAGGGCAAATCACGCTTTAAGGTCACCAGAGTCCCGGTTCTCAGACAGTCTCAATAATCAGGCAGGTTTAAGATGGAAACCTCAAAGATGGCCAAGGTGGGGGCTAGCAGTGGCACCCACCTCCCTGCCTTTGCAAACAAATGGCCACGGAATTTGAAATCCTTCCTCGGGATGCGGGCTAGCTGCATGCAAGTTTTGTTTTGTATTTAATCGGGATCTATTCCTCCAGAACCCCAAAGTCATGTGAATCGTTCGGCTTTCTGGAGAGGGTTTTTGCACAACCCTCAGCAAAGGATCAGAAGAGAAACAATGAATGAGTCAGAGTTTCAGAACATAATCGCCCGGCAGATTATTAAGTGCATCGGTGCAAAACACTCACTCCCTCCCTGTAGAACTTGGGAATCAGCCCTCCTCCTACCAGCCCTGGCACAAAGGAACAGCACCGACTCCCAGCAACAACCAGAGCCGGGTGTCTCCCAAAGAACCTTGGGAGGTGGTGAGGGCAGTGGCCAATTAGTTACACATCCTCTTCTCAACCCTGCCCCCACACCGCTACTTTCCTACTATATAGGTTCCCTGCCAGGCTGTAAATCGTGGTGGCATAATGAAGCTCAGGAGGCATCCAAAAATGGGCTGAAACAGGAGACTGCAATGAAACCAGCTCCAGGCCTCCACACCAAAGAAATCAAGGGGCACCGAGGGGCAGAAAGCAAGTTACATTCCTTCAGTCCTTTTCTACTTCCTCTCCAGCCTCTTTCGTTTTCAACCCAGCACTTTCACACAATTGTGCTCATTTTACTAGTAGGTTGGGGGATACGTTTCCTTCAATTTTTTACTTAATAGCCCTTACTCAAAAAAAAAAAACAAAAACCAAAAATCCACTTAGCTTTTTGCGGGCCTGCTGCTGTGAATTCGACAGAAAGGAGGCCACAAAATCTCGTTCCCACCCACCACACTCAGGCACACAGAGAAAAAGACTTAAAATCTAACTTCCAAACTACCTTAACCATGAAACAAATAGACCCTCTGGTCTGTAAATCCTTGAGACTGTTGTTCTCCTTATCACACCGATCTCGGATTTTAAAGCACCTCTCCTTTCTTTTTTGCCAGAGGAGGGAGGTGGAGAAAGAACAGAAGGCCAAGGCATCTTCGCCTTTCTTCATCTTCTACTAAAAATAAGCTATGAAATAAGCCACTTAGGGGAAGGGAAAAAAAAGACACCCTGCTGTTCTTTGTCTGTTTTTCTCTTCCCTCTCCACCCCCAACACCCCGACTCCTAAACGCGGTAATCATTTCAGATGCCACAACTACTAAATGAACAAAAGGCACTGGATGGAAAAAGGCATCAGGTCAAGGTAGGCCTCACTCTTTATCCTCAGGCGTCTAAAAATATATAGGTGTGTGATTTGGGAATCTGACACTTATCAAAAACAGCTGGAATTCTCTCACCCACCCCCATATCCCAATTAAACATTAGGTAGAAATTTGCATTAGGTGTGACAGTAACTCTCAATTCAAGACAAAAATAACCCGTCTGCCACCATGTCATTTCCTAGTTTCTAAACAAAAATAAAAACCCGAAACTGCTTTGTGCAAAACGTATACACACAGCCACAGTTACAAGGATTCCTGCAGCCTTCAGAAGAGCCAACATTTACACATTTACAAAAACTCAAGTCACAACCACGGAACAGCTCAGAGTCGGTTTCACTTGTGCCTAGACCTGCACTTGGTAAATATATATACTTACATCCCCAAAATACCAGACTCCAAGCTTAGAAGTTTATCTACTGGTCCTAATTTCTAATCAAGTTTTCCAGAAAAAAAAAGGAAAAAAAAATACCTCCTTATCCCGAAAGGATTACTAGGGGTGGGGGGGGTAAAATCTCTTGCCCAGGCAACTTCTCTCCCATCCCTCCCCCCTCCCTTTTAAACCAAATGCAAAAGCTACTTTAAAAAAAAAAAACACTTCAGCGGATTCCACAACAGTGTTTTGGGTTGGTGTTGTGTTTTTTTTTTTTTTGGACAATCATCGATCTCTACTAAAGGTTTGTAAAACAGCACACGCCAAAAAAAAAAAAAGTAACAAATAAAAGAAAAAGAGAGAGCAGCCGAAATTCACCTGAAGAATCTAGCCAAACAACTTGAGTTACATAAACAAAACCCAGCAACAGGGGGAAACGGTGGGGGGATGGGGGTGAGGGCGAGAGCCTCAGAGACAGGACTTTTAAACTGCGTTTTCACACACCACCACCCCCCACCCACCCCCTTCCCCGGGGGATTAGCTGTTCACCACACTGGATTCGTTTCCACTCTCCCCGACCCCCCTTCTAAATTACCCCTCCAAGGGGGGGGGGGCCGGGTGTAAAAAAAATGTCTCGTCTCCAGTTATCAGAGGAACCTTCGCGAATTTCTCGAGCTAGTCATGAAATAATCAGTCTGGATTCCAACCAAAACCACTGCCTGAAGGACTTTTTTTTTTCCCTTTTTATCAGTCAGAAGCTTTCCCAACGCTACCTCCTGAGTATAAAAGTTGGGGGGAGGGGGGGTGGGCAGAGAGAGAGAGAGGGAGGGCAGGAAAAATAAATAAATAAAAAGGGTGTCACTTGGCGAGATCTGGGCAATTCTTCCTCCCAGAACCTTATCCTCGGAGAGGGAGTTTGCTCCCGGGGCTGGTCCTGGAGCTATTTTGTTCAGGGGATCCTCTTTCTCTCCCTCCCCCCCCCCAGCTGTCAGACCCACAAAACGGAGGGTGGGCTTGGGCTGGAGGGCCTGGGGGTCCTCACCACCGACTAGTAAGGGTGGGACAGGGGCTTTGTCAGCGAAAAAGCTCCACTGCGGGGCTTCTCCTGGGCCCCCCCGCCCCCCCGAGAAAGCTTGAAGCGGGGTCTGTAATTTAAATAAATATTCAGCGCTCGCGCTCTCGCTCTATTCCGGGGAGGGGGTTGGGGTGCTGAGGTTGGGGGGGTGGGAGGGGGGTGTTGCCGAGACGACTCTCTTTCCTAATATAGAAAGGAATTAGGGATAAAGGAGGTCACTTGAGTTACCCCAGTTCAAGCGAGCATTGTGCACGGACGCAACCGAGGGAGAAAGGGAGAAAAGGCTTGCGTGTGTGTGTGTGTGTGTGTGTGTGTGTATGTGTGTGTGTGGGGGGGGTCCCTATAGCTCCACTCCCGCTAGCAAACAGCAAAGCCAGACCCCTGGGAGTGAGTGGGCTCGGCGGCGGTGAAGAGCTCCGAGGCTGGTCGGGCCAACAACAACAACAAAAAAAAATTAAATTAAATTACAAGAGCGTCCTGGGAGTCCAAGCGTCGTGGAGGAAAAGTCACGGGCCACGGGGTTGGGGGGGGGGGTTGGTGTGCAGGAGAAGAGAGCGGGGCCACGGCGCGTGTCGGGGGTGCTGCAGATGAAAGGGGGGCGCTTCGGCACCGGCTGTGGGCTCCGGGGAGGCGCCCGGGCGAGGCGGCCGCGGACAGCGGCCCCCGAGAGCGCCCCGCGGCCCGGGCATCCATCCTCCGCCCGCAACCCACCCCCCCCACCCCCGCTCACGGACCCCCGCCGCCACCCACCCCCCCACCCAACCCCGCCGCTGTCGCCGCCGCCGCCGCCGCCGCCAAGGATACAGCTTGACCACGTCCGTGTCCATCCGCCGCTTGCCCGGGCTGGGGGATGACATGGTGGTGTCGCCGCCGCGGCTTCCCCGTCGCCTCTCTCCGCCTTCCTCGGCCCGTCTGTCACACGGGCCCGGGGCCCCCGGCTCGCAAGAGCCCGCGGCCGCGCCGGCTCCTCGCCGGAGGTGACAACACGCCCGCGGTCCTGCCGGGTCCCGTCAGCCGCCGCCGCCGCCGCCGCCCCCCGCACGGGGGAACACCGGGCACTGTCAGGCCGAGTGGGGGTGGGGGACCCCGCGGCGCCCGGCTCGGGCTGCCCTTTTCCGGCCGTCGGTCCCGCCGAGGCCCGGCCCCGGCGCCGACTCCGCGCGACGCGACGCGCCCGCCCGCCCGCCCGCTCTAGCTCGCTCGCTCGCTCGCTCGCCTGCTCGCCGGCTCAGCCTCTCGCCGGCTCCCCTCGTAGCCTCCACGACAAGCGGACGACTCCTGCTCGCTCGGCCTCTCTACCCCAGCCTCGCTCCGGGCGCCGTGACGTCACCTCTGTGACGTCACCCGAGGGGCGGGCCCGGCGGCGAAAGGGGTGGGGCGCCGCCATGGCGGCCGGGGCTCTTTTTTGCCCCGCCCCGCCCTCTTTCCTCCCACCCCCCCCCCTTCCCCGGGGCATTCTGGGAGATGTAGTTTCTCTTTCTCCTGCTCGCCCCAGTCCTCGGCCCCCCCTCCCCCAACTTCTCCACTCCTTTCATCGCTCAACTGCCAGAGTCGTTATCATCATCATAAACGAGCATGTCAAATAATGGCAATGTTGAGACATGCACGTGTTTCAGGGGAATGAGCCTCCTTCGCACACACTCTGTTTTAAAATGATGTGTCTTGGACTTGGAAGAAGCCTAGGCTCATCAGTCACCGAAATCCGGAAATTCCTACGCTAAGGGGGTTCCCCCCCAGACTCCGTACAGGGAGAGAATTTGCTTGCAACAGTTGGAGGCTATATGGCAAGGATTTCTCTGTTTGCAAAATAACTACCACACATACAAGGGCTCTCTGGCTCTGTCAAGCATTAGTGTTGAGGCAGCAAGGTGGCGAAGCCAGATGTCAGAACTAACATCCTTCCTTGAAGGACTTGGAGGTAATTTCACCAAGTTGAATGGCCAGTGGAAGCAGAAACACCCCCACCCCACCCCATATGCTGTAGTTCAGGATAGGGATAGTTCTGTCTGCCTGACTCGTACACCAACTTGCCGTGCGTGAACATTCATATAATAAACATGTATTGAACACCTCCTGTATGCCAGTCACTGTACTCTAGATGAGGATATCATGGTGATCTAAGTTTACAGCCTCCCACTGTGGTCTACAATCTGTGCTGTCAACATCACCTGGGAACTTGTTAGAAATGCAGGTTAGAGCTTCACCTCAGACCTACTGAATTAGAACCTGCAATTTAACAAGGTCCCAGGTGATTCCCATGTGAAGTTAAGTTTGAGAGACGCTGCTTCACGAGACACTCCAGAGGAAGAGATGTGGAACCAGAGCCACACCGTCAAACACAGCAGGAAAGAATGATCTAGGCATCTCCTATTTCTATCACATTTTTATTGCAAGTCTCATTTTTTCCCCTCTATTCTCTTGTTCTCGGGAATATACTTGTGCTTTGTCAGTCCATGTGCTGTGAGTTGTTCCATACACCTCCCATACATACATACACTCGCACACACACCCCCACACACACATACCCACACCCACTCACGGGTCAGCAGTACTCATTTAAAGGTGAATGCTACCTATCTATCATTTCAGCCCTCAGAAAGATAGGCCCTGTGTGTGTGTGTGTGTGTCTCTGTGTGTCTGTGTGTGTGTGTGTGTGTGTGTGGTGGAGGGAGGATCAATATAAAATTGACTTGTATGTGTGGTACTAGGGATCAAACCCAAGTCCTCTAAGCAAAGCGTGTACTCTACCACCAAGCCACAACCCCACCCCCAAATTTACCATCTTAAAATGCATGAGTCAGTGGAATAATATGCACGCATGCCACTTATACCATCATCACTACTACTATTCCTCCCCAAGACATTTTTGGTCATCCCAACCTCATTAAAACCTATTAAACAGTAACACCTGCTTTCAGCTCCCCTCTCCCCATCAGTAGCCTCTCTTCTATTTCTGGTGCTGTTTGGGGGACCTGCACCTGGTTGGCATGCAAAGCAAGTACCTTACTTACTGTATGCCTTCTCTCCATGTTATTGTACTTTCTGACAGAGACGGGCTGTCAGCTGTTTCTAAGAGGGATGTGTGTTTTCTTGCTGCATGCAGCACGTCAACTGGGATGGTGTTTCTAAACAAACAGGTCCAAAGCCCTGCTTGTTCTCTGGCTCTTTCTTGTGAGAATGACTCTTTATCGGTTTTGGTTCATTTGAGGGCCACACCCAACAGTGTTCAGGGATGGCTCCTAGCAGGGATCAGGGGACTTTATGCGGTGCTGGGGACTGAACCCAGGTCAGCTGCATTCAAAGCCAGCGCCCTCCCCACTGGACTGTGGCTCTAGCTCTTGAGGACAGTTCCCAGGCACTTGGCCTCCTGTGGCTGTGACCCCCTCTCCCAGCAGGACTCCCCCCCTTCCAAAGGAGCCATTCTCAAGCTTTCAGGATCACCTGGGGAGCTTATTAAGCTCACAGATGTCCAGGCCGCCCCCCACCGCCTCTCTGGGGATTCCAATTCAGACGGTCTGGGGTGGGGCTTGGACCGCTCTGTCTTTAACAAGCTCCCCAGGTGATTCTGATGCAGTCCAAAGCGTGAGAACCCCTTGTCGGAACATTCCAGGAGCACTTTTACCTGATCCCTCTAGCTAGGTCTGGGACTACCCAAGTGTTCTATGCAAATAACTGCATTTCTTCTCACCCAAGAGTGAGGGGGACGGCTTAGAGGGTGCCAAGAGGTGATTCTGAGAACAGAAAGAGCTGAGAAAGAAGGACAACAGGCAGCCCAGAGAATATCCTTGATGCTTTCCCCTTCAGAATTAAGCCAGAGTATTCGGGGGAGGATTTAGTTAGAGAGACTTGTTCCCGAAAACCCTGGAGAGGGTAAGAATGTTCTACCTAGAAGTGCAGCAGTGATTTAGCCTCTGAGCCTTTATGGAAAAGAAATTATCCTTCCAAGAGCAATTGTCTTTGGCAGCGCAAGACGCTCTTTAGGCTAAGCCCGCCCCTCCCAGCTCTTAGTTTCCAGTCATGGCCTAGGACCTTGGGAGCCTCAGTTTTTGCATCTGTACAATGTGACCTCTGATCCCTCTAAATGTGAAAGTCCTTGTCACAGCGAGCTATTCCTTCACAAAGGGAGCCAGCAGGTGTCTTATGTTCTGGGTGGGGATAGCATTGTGTGTTTGGTATCAAGAAAGAAGCATTTGCTTTGATGTTCTTTTTGGTTCTCTCTCCCTTTCCCTTTACTCCTCCCCTCTCTCCTCTCTCCCCTCTCTTCTGTCCTCTCTCTCTGTTGGGGAGAGGAAGTAGAACCTACATCCAGAGGTGCTCCTACGATCAAGCAGTGCCAGGACTGAACCCAGACCTTTGACCCTTCGAGCCATCTCCCCAGCCCCTGGTTTGGCCCTCCTTGAAGAAGTCCCAGTGTTCGGTTCTTTCCGGGCTGAGTGTCTGTTCAGATTTCTTGTGCACACCTTTTCCCTCTGGGCATTCTGCCATGTGCTCCTGTGTGAATAAATTCGCCTCCCCAGTCTGACTTCCTCGCCCTTCCTCTCCCGCACCCCTCTGCTGCTCTTCCCAGAGCTTCAGGGAACTCAGTCCCTGCCCTTGACCAGTCCAAGGCAAAGGGGTGCCAACAGACGGCCCGGGTGTTCCTTGTTGCGGCTTACAATGCCCGGAGAGCCGGAGAGCCCACCTCAGAAGCAGTATGTTCTTGCTCTCCCCCCCCCCCCCCCCCCGATGTTTCAGACATTGAAAACATCAATAATTGACTGCAAGACCGAGGCAGCCTGGGAGTGCCTGTTTATGTGTGACATGCAGGGCGGCCGATGCAGCCAGCCGGCTTCTTCCTTATCAGGCCTGACCAGAGGTGCTGCAGGGCCCAGCTGACCGCCCCTCACTGACTTGCCAGTGTTGCAATCTGGGAAATAGATTTGGGGCCTGTTTATCTCGCCCCAGGGCAAGGCCGAGCTTGACCAACAGAACCTCCAACCAGGTCTCAAAGGCACCACGTTTGGGCACAATCTAATGCTTTGAACAGACCAGGCCTGTGACAGACCCATTGTCCTTTGTGGGGTGACAGAAGTTTGCCCCAATCTTCCTGGGACAGCTCTGAAGTCCAAGGAGACGGATTGCGCTCCCCACAAATGCGAGAGTCCCCCAAATAAGGTTGCTTCTTTCTTTTTTCTTTCTTTCTTTCTTTTTTTTTTTTTGCCTTTTTTTTTTGGGGGGGTCACACCCAGCGATGCACAGGAGTTACTCCTGGCTCTGCACTCAATAATTACTCCTGGCGGTGCTCAGGGGACCATATGGGATGCTGGTAATCGAACTGGAGTCAGCCGCATGCAAGACAAACGCCCTATCCACTGTACTACCTCTCCAGCCTTGTTTATTTTTGTTCAGGGATCAACCCAGGGCCTCATCCATGCAGAGTATGTGCTGTGCTACTTGAGATCCACCCAGCCCATGCGAGGCCTCTAATGTCACTGGCCCATGTCGTTGGAACATAGGTTCATTCTTTTTTTTTTTTATTTTTATTAGTGAAACACCATGAGGTACAGTTGTAGACTTATATATAAATTTTTGTGCTTGGGTTTCAATTATACAATGATCGAGTACCCATCCCTCCACTAGTGCCCATTCTCCACCACCACTAATCCCTGTATCCCTTTCATTCCCCCATCCTCCCATCCCACCCTGCCTCTGTGGCAGGGCATTCCCTTTTGTTCTCTCTCTCTCCTTTTGGGTGCTGTGGCTTGCAAAAGAGGCATTGAGTAGAAATCGTGTTTGGTATATAGTATACTTTCAGCATGCATCTCCCATCCTGGGAGGATCCTCCCAACACCCTTTATTTAGTACTCCCTTCTCTATCTGAGCTGCCTTTTCCCCTAGCATGTGCGGTTGGCCTCCAAGACATGGAGTGAGTAGTTCATTCTTAGTTGGTATGTCTTGGCATTGGAAATCACAGATCCAGACTCTCCATAAGGCAATAATCATAGCAGTTTCCTTACCTCTATGGAAAGAAATGTAACCTGCGACAATTGGTCCCACAAAGAAAGTCAGTGAGAGTGCAGGAACATGCCTGCCACCAGAACACAAGAGGTGTCATCTGTTCCATTGCCCTTCTCTGCTTACTGCCTCCTGCCATATCCTGGGCCCATGACAGGCCTACCCCCAGCCCAAAGCAGCAGGATTCAGTGACAGACAGATGACCCCTTCTA